AAGTAAGAAGTCTAGTTGATTTCCTGCAAAGACAGACAGAAAAAGGCTCAATTATGACGACTGCAATGAACCAAAGCAATGAATTCCCAGATTATGTCACACATTGACAAAAACTGCAAACTTTCAAGAAAGCAAGAACTCATTCTAAGGGAAAGCAAGGCAATAGAAACTACTTAGAAATGTGGACCAACCTATGGCTGGAAACCCTAAGCAGCATTTAAAAGAAATTTATCAAGTTTCAAAAGAAAAGCAGAAATGATTCAATACACCAGGAGAGGTCTGGCCAGGTAGCTCAGGGGACTAAAGCACTTGCTTAGGCAGAGCCCATCAGCCAGAGTTCTATCCCCTGTGTGCCGCAATGGCCCTGCCCTCTGGGCACACTGAGAGGGCCGCTGAAACTGGGCCTGGTGGTGTGCCACTGTAATCCCAGCACTTAGGAGGCTGTAAACAGGGGGATAACTACAATTCTGATCTAGTAGTGAGATCCTGAACAACCTGTAGGTCCTTCTCGATAAAACAAAAATAAATAAATATAAAAAAATTTGAAAATAGCAGTTAATGCTGTTTTCTTTATCTGTTTTCTTTCAAATTTCATTTTTTTTCAAAATTTTATTGATACAAAGATAGCAATGAGATAGTTTCAAATCAAATCGGAAGTACAAATTCAACAAATATCATATTGCATATCTTCTTCTTAGTGGTTAATTGCTGTACAAGGTGCGGACTTGAGATCCTATTTACAAACATCATTAGAAAAAATCATTCTATTAATTAAGAGAATGCAACTATATATCTATCCTAACCACTTTAAATACACAGGTACAAAATGGACATTCATCTGTACACCCCATTTTTCTAAGTTCCGTAATTGAATATTATAGGTGTGTAAACTCAGCAAAATACTCTAAAAGAGTGCAGTTGCCTATAATAGCACTGGGTTTTCTGTTTAACTGGCAATGTCAGAAATTATTGACCTGAGTCCCCCACAGCTCAACATAACAGCATGGCTTTATTTCCTATATTTTGTCTTCACAGTTTTCTACTGGATGGTAAAGGCCAACGTAAAGCAGGACCTGTGCAACAAGAGTTGCAGCT